TCGACGCCCATTGTCGTTTACGAATCCCCACGACACCCTACATCAAGCAAATCGTGGCAAAATCAGGCTAAAATCATGTAGTCTGAACCGGGCATAAAGCTCCATTCATATAAGATTGTGGCTCAAACTTGCACCTTACAAAATTTTTATTTATTAAATTATTTTCTTCAAAACAAAACATTTTTAATGTGTTTACAAGGATGTTTTGTCTTCTTTTGTTTTAAAACAACAATTTGTAGATGTTTTTTTTTGTTTTTTTTAAATATGATCTGTTGATTAAAACTGAATTTTTCTGAATTTCATAACCAATGCATAAGCAGCAGACTAACTGATGAATGAAATCATGCAGAACACTGAGGGAAACGCACAAGAAAATTAGTTTACCATTTTTCAAACTCATCTTTTGTTGTTAGTTTATAGGGGGAGAGAGAAAAAGAGTTTATTTACCAATCACTTTAATTTAATTTAAAAGTTTTGGCGCTAGAGATTTAGAAACTTAAATCATTGAAAAATAAGTTGAACTGCAATGGCACAACATATCCAAAACAAGTAATTTTGAGTTCCAGTGTATTCTAAATACTAAATATGTAGCTTCATGTTGTCATGACAACAGATTTGTAGATGTTTTTTTTTGTTTTTTTTAAATATGATCTGTTGATTAAAACTGAATTTTTCTGAATTTCATAACCAATGCATAAGCAGCAGACTAACTGATGAATGAAATCATGCAGAACACTGAGGGAAACGCACAAGAAAATTAGTTTACCATTTTTCAAACTCATCTTTTGTTGTTAGTTTATAGGGGGAGAGAGAAAAAGAGTTTATTTACCAATCACTTTAATTTAATTTAAAAGTTTTGGCGCTAGAGATTTAGAAACTTAAATCATTGAAAAATAAGTTGAACTGCAATGGCGCAACATATCCAAAACAAGTAATTTTGAGTTCCAGTGTATTCTAAATACTAAATATGTAGCTTCATGTTGTAATGACAACAGACAAAGAGTAATAGAATCATAGAGGCACTTAAGAACAAATAAATGTCTTTGTATTCCCAAAAATAAAGAACAACGGTGTTTGAAATGAGACTGCATTTCCATACACTGTGGTCTGAAAAGTGACAATACACAAATACACACTCAAAACATGCACTGACAAACCTTGAAGCTGACATCCACAGTGGCGCACTATTAAAACCATACCGCTCATGTAACTCTGGCCCCCAAAAAGTAATTATTATTAAATTGTATGTAATTGAACAGACAATTTTGAATGTTGGAGTAATGATTCACAATTAGGTCAAAAATCCAGATTAAAATGTATCCTCAGGTCAAAGTAAAGCCTCTAACTACTATTAAATTAGACTCAGGCCTCAAAACTCAAACAGATGCGGCCTATTTGTAGTTTATTCGTCTTTATTATTCTGCAAGGGCCATTTTAAAGATATACAAATAATGACAGGCTTATAATATGCATGTAAAAAATAAAGAGCCAAACTGAGTTTAAGAAAATAGTCCAACTTTTTATAGAGCACCTTTCATACAAGACTGTAGCTCACATTTCTTGCACTTTACAAAACAAAACAAAAAAACTTTTGAAAAATTCTTGAACAATGTTTTGTTTTGCCCTGTACAAAAGTTTTTCTAAAAAAAAAAAATAATAATACAAATTTACATGTTTATTTACAAACGTGTTTGTGTTATGCACTTTACACAACAAATGTTTTTTTTTTCATTTGTTTTGCATCTTACAAAACAAAAAGGTTTTCTTCAAAACATATTTACAATTATATTTTTTGTTTTATTTTGTTATGTTAAAAGAAAACAAAAATTGGTACATCACCTTAAATCGTTCACGAACTAGTTTTCTCAAAATAATGTGATCCACTTTCCTGAAAATTGTTTACTGAATGGAAACTTGTATTTTTGTTTCCATTAAGGAGATTAATTCTTTATGAACAATGCAAGAAAAAGAAACTTTCCCTCAGGCCTCATAGACCATCCTGTTGAGGGAGACCCCAAAACACTGGCTACAGTTTTAGCACTCCATTGAGATTCAGACACTTTAAAGGTTCTGGAGCTGAGCTTGGATGGCCTTTTCTGTATGTTTGCCAGCTGAATACACTCCAAACAAATCAAAATAAATGCCCAATAAAACAGTTTCATTTTTCCCTTTTCCTCTCAAAACTTTTCAACTGTTGAGACACGTTATTAGGAAACAAAAAGACAGGTAAGACTGCAAAAACGGTTTTTGCTACAGGCACATTTTAATGGTGAATAGAAAACTAAAAACAAATTCACCCAAAGGAATACTTTTTATTTCAAACTGTCATTGACTAATGACAAACGCAATCAAACTCCTAGAAACATTGCGAACTGAGTCTAAAATCTGTAATCTTTACATTTAAAAAGGCTGAGCTGTATAATCTGGTACTCATCAGTGAAATTCATCAGTATTACTCCTGAAATATTTTCCAGACTGTGTATCCAGGGAATTAAGTCAATGTAAGGTACATTAAACGGGGTCATCGTGGAAGAGCTTCAAACGGTTTGAGTTCAAAGCCTCAGTTGGAAGGTGTAAGCTCGGCAGTCGTTTAATTACACAACGAAACAGGACTGCAGGGAGAGATGTGGT